GGTTGTTGTAGGTTTTTCGGGCTATATGGCCATGTTCTAGAGGCATTCTCTCCTGACGTTTCACCTGCATCTATGGCAAGCATCCTCAGAGGTAGTGAGGTCTGTTGGAACTAGGGAAAAGGGTTTATAAATATCTGTGGAATGACCAGGGTGGGACAAAGGACTATTGTCTGCTGGAGCTAGGTGTGAATGTTTCAACTGACCACCTTGAATTCTCTCTCTTAAGAGGTTGCGTTCCAGGCGGTCGTAGATCTGGTGAGCCTGTGTTGTTTTGAAAGTCCTTTTGGCTGCGAGAAATTGTGGGATGGTATCTCTGTCTCTGCAGCGTACTAGGAAAGTCAGTGAGCACAGTAGATGTGCTTTCCTGGTCCTTAGTTTTTCTAATTTCTGTGTGTATTGGAACAGTTTCTCCCCATAGAGATGTTCAATGTATTGTCGAAGGCTTTCATGGCCGGAATCACTGGGTTGTTGTAGGTTTTTCGGGCTATATGGCCATGTTCTAGAGGCATTCTCTCCTGACGTTTTGCCTGCATCTATGGCAAGCATCCTCGGAGGTAGTGACGTCTGTTGGAACAGGGTACAATGTTTTGCTTGTTACTTTTAAAATCCTACATTGTTTGGGTTCAAGTTACTTATGAGATAACACTAGTTCATACTCTCATGAGAGTTCTCTTGGCCATTTTTTCACATGTACTTTATCATTCCCAGCCTCATTACATAACATTCCAATTACAGCCATCCACCATCCGTATGGCACTCACCTTAGCTTTAGACAACATTTTTGCTCCTGCCTTTGTCCCCCAATGATGATCATTAAAACTGAAATTGTCACCTCATCATTACCAAACGTTTTTCATTTCATTTCCTATTCAACATGTTCATTGGTCTGTTCCTAGCCACTTTGCACCATGCATCTGTTGAAATAGACTCACAAAGCCCCAAAGTGTTATCTCATTGGCATGGACAATTATGTTGACTAAATCAAATATATTTCTAACGTTTTTAATTACTGTCAAGTCCACTTCAACTTATGGCAATACCATGATTTAGAGAACAGCATTGCCCTGGTCTTGCAGACTCAAGGGTCTGACTTCCATGATTGAATCTATCAATCTATAATGCAGATTTCTTGTCCTACTGTTTTCTGAATTCTATATTTCCAATACCTCCATGTAATTACATTTTTTCAACTAAAATTTGCTTTAAATAAAACTATATGAAATGACAGTATGTTTGATTCATTTCCATGCTAGAATAGAATACAGGCTGTATTGTTTTCATATGCTATGAAGAGATATTCTCATCTGAGACTTTTGTTATGCATATTAGTTAATGGTGAATTAATAACTGCTGTGGCTTTTATCATGCATTGCTTTTACTGAGCATATGGAAGCAGCTCTGGGACCAATTTAAGTAGAAAATTAAATAAATAATTAAAATTTATCAGAAAGGTAATTGAAGCCACAAATATCAACAAATGGGCTAGAAGGAACAATTTGTCTTGTTTGCTTTTTGCCAGTGGAAAAAAGTTTCAATTTGGAAACTGTCTACAAAGTTTACTTTCTTACTTGTTTTAAACCTGTGTTTAAATAGGTTAACAGGGGGCTTCAAGTAGAGGCAAACTACATCTGATTAGGCAGAAATTATGAAAGGATTATAAGCATTCTCAGTTTAAAGAAGGAAAGCCAATTAATTTCTTATACAAGAAATGACAAATGACCTTTACAATAAATCTGCATCTCACCTGCACTAACAGTTCAATTAATTTAATCATTACCCTCAATTAATTTCCCACCCCAAATAATCCAACATGCTCCAAAGCCAATTTCTCTACAATTGCTCCCATTCATGAACGATCACATCATTAGTTCTCTAAATATCATTTAACTGAAAATAAATAGAATGCATATTGTGATTCTCCCTGGGTATTGCAAGGTGAAAGTGAATGTTATTAGGAAAGAAGGTAACCATTGCACAACAGTGATCTCCTATCTTCTTGGTAAAAGTAATCTCAAATGACCGGTAAGTTGGAAGCTGAATTGATGATGATGTTTTAAATTCCTTCAGCAAAAAAATGCATGCTTAATTTTTAAAACGTGTCTGTTGGAGGAAGGAGAGCAGAAAAAGGTCAGGGAATAATACAGTCTGGGAACAGCTACCAAGAAGACCCTCTCACATGTCCTCATCAAATGGGCCTATGAGAAATATGAGAAAGCCCTCCATTGAGGATCTTAAAAGACAGATACGGGCCTAATATTATCTAAATTTGGACCTAAGATGTATAGGGCATTATATATTGTAACCAGCACTTTGAAGTATGCCCACAAACAAGCGGTAGCTAGTGACGCTGTTCAGAAAGGAGTTATGGTTTCCATATCGCCAGACAAGTCAGCTAGTTTATTAGCCATCAAAGATGTTATAGAGTTTTACAAACAAACTGTGAGGATATATCAGATAAGTAGGATTTCCCACTAATCATTTAGTAGGAATCCTATTAAGCAGTTACAAATACAGGCAGTCTCTGACTTACAAACATCTGACTTACAAACAACTCATAGTTAAGAACAGAGATGAGACAACAGGAAGTGAGATAAATCTGCCCCTCAGAAGGCAAATTATTACTGATAGATTTATAATAAGAAAAGGTGAAAAGGTGTCTCCACTGAAGCTTTAACACCAATCCTTGTTTCAGGTGAAGTGAAATCTCCTGAACAGGGGCATAGACAGCAAAACAAACACCACAGGGGTGTTAAGCCTTCCCTATGCTATCCAAAGCTAAAGATATAGCCGGGGGGGGGGGGGGGGGGCTTGAGGGGCTTCAGCCCCCCCCCCTCCGAAATTCTCATGGTGGTTCACGAAAAGGCCTTACTGGTGCATTATTTAAACTGTTATGTTTATTCATATCATGATCTGATCACCATACTCATTATATCCCATATGCATGGGGGTATTGGGGTAATGATACAAAAGGTTTGCTAGGCTAGACCCTCTTTCACTCAGACTCAGCCCCCCCCCCGAAACTCAGCCCCCCCAACCCCCCCTGAAAAAAATTCAGCCCCCCCCCCAAAACGAAACTGGCTACGGGCCTGATATATATATATATATATATATATATATATATATATATATGTTATGTTGTTTTTGGGATTGACATAACTCAAAAACCACTGGACTGACACCAAATTTGGACACAAGACGCCTATCAAGCCAACAAGTGACCATCACTCATAAAAACAGGGGAAAACACAGTGGAAGGGACTAAAAAAGCAAGAAAAAAAACCAATTACAATGCATGCACAAAACCACATATATACACAAACACATATGTACACATATACACAAATATATATACACACACAAAACACATATACACAGACTGGGCCACAGCAACACATGGCAGGGAATGGCATATATATATATATATATATATATATATATATATATATATATATATACATACATTTTAATATTTTTATAAATGTTTTTAATGTTTATGCATACTCATATGAATTCTTGTCCCGGCATTGAATTTTTTGCCATATATATGCTGTGCTACGCCCTGAGTCCCCTTCGGGGTGAGAAGGGCGGAATATATATATATATATATATATATATATATATATATATATATATATATATATGTTTAGTTACTTTAAAAATGTACCAAATTCAACTTAAGAACAAACTTAAGAACAAACTTACAACTATCTTGTTTGTAACTTGGGGACTGCCTGTATGTAACTTTCCTAGTTACAGATCTACACAGAGAATTTTGGGCTGATCCCCCCCCCCATTCCCAAGTACATGGGGGGGGGGCAGCCACTGCAATTGGCCAGGGTCCATTCCCCTGTCACTCAAGAAGCATCTGACTGCTATTCTCACTTCCTTCTACCAGTGATCTCCATTGTGACAGGCAGAAACAGGATCTCTATCACAATTTACCTTTACACTGGTGATGGTTTGTGTAAGAGGGATGGGAATGTCAGTCAGCTACTTCTTGAGGTATAGGGAAATGGTATCCATAGATCATGGTGTCTGCTTCCCATCAAATGGGGATTGGGGGACTATCATAGTCCCCACATGCCCCCTAAACTATGACCTACTTAAGAATTGTAAATGCTCTACAATCACCCCCTGCAACAATTTCAAATATCTCAATTATCTCTGCAGCTCCTCTTAAAACAGTGATATGAATCAATATTTTGTTGCTTACTGTCATCATTTTAAGAGGGACTTCAGGAAAACAGTCATTTTGGGATAGTATGTGACCGGGAAGTTCCTGTGGATGTGGACAGTTTTACACATTTAAGGAGGCTTTCTCCATAGTTTGGGGATTAAAACTGCCTACTGCTGTTCTAATTAATCTCAACAATTAATGAATACTACAGACACACATGAAACAATTCTGCTATATATTTTTCTATTGTCTTGGTTTGTTGTAAAATGTGGGGATCAATTTCAAAAATAGTCTAGATAACTTTGAAAAGAATAAGTACTAGTTAAGGACCTGCATTCATTTATCCCCAAACTTCTAAATTCTTTTCATTTTTCATTATTTTACACAACTTATACATGCATTTTTTATTTTTAATAGCCCGATCCCATCAATATCTCTTTAGGTCTTTTAGCCTTTACTGTCTCTCTGTGTGTGTGCGTGCTGATTTGGTTATTCTCTGGGCTTTAATCATTTTTATTTTCATTGTTATTTTAAATCGTATTCGCTGCTCTGAGAGTCATTTGAATTAGGTTTGAGTTGTTAAATCTTTGTCATAAATAATCTATATATATAATAAAACTGAGTCACCTTTGGGCTTTTTTTTTTTTTTGTCGTGTCAGGAGCAACTTGAGAAACTGCACGTTGCTTCTGGTGTGAGAGAATTGGCCGTCTGAAAGGACATTGCCCAGAGGACGGCTGGATGATTTGATGTTTTTATCATCCTTGTGGGAGGCTTCTCTCATGTCCCCACATGAGGAGCTGGAGTCGATAGAGGGAGCTCATCCGCCTCTCCCCGGAACCTGCGACCTGTTGGTATTCAGTCCTGCCGGCACAGGGGTTTAACCCACTGCGCTGTCAGCCTTTGGGCTGAAAAGGGCGGAATAAAAGTATGGTAAATAAAATAAATGTTTGTATGTATGCAGAGGGCGGAGGGCGGTTTATGTGGCAGCTTTCCGATTGGCTGCCACTTTCACAGACCACAGCAACTAGCACGGGTGAAGGACCTGGACCAAAGTTGGCATACATAACCCCTATGACCCCCTTTATGTCCTGGTGAGGTTTGGGGAGGATGAACAATGGATGATGGGATTTGTAGTACTTTCAAACCCTTCAGTTCCCACAGACCACTGTGGTCCCCAACAAAGACCGATAAAGACCAAACTTGGCACACAGAGCCCCCATGACCCACTCTACATCCTGCTGAGGTTTGTAGGATGGTGTATCATGGATGATGGGACTTGAAGTACCTCTACTCACTTCCCAAGACCGCTGCAACCCTCATCCAATGACTGATCAAGACCAAACTTGGCACACAGATCCCCCATGACCCACTCTACATCCTGGTGCAGTTTGGAGGAGGGTGGACCATGAATGATTGGACTTGCAGTACCTTCATTCATTTCCTGAGATCACAGCAACACTCATCCATATACCAATAAAGACCAAACTTGGCACACAGAGCCCCATGACCCACTCTACACCCTGGTGCAGTTTGGAGGAGGATGGACCATGGATGATGGGACTCTCAGTACCTTCACTAATTTCCTGAGACCACTGTGAGCTACATAAATAACTGATAAAGACCAACCTTGGCATACAATGCCTTTCTCAAATAACTTGGGCCCCGCCGGTTCCCCAAGCTAGTAAATAATAAATAAAGAAGGAAGCAAAATACCACTTTCCATTTAATGATGTGATGCACAGTCAAGAACTAAGAATGAACAGTTTTGCTCAGGTGAACCAAGGCATGCAAATCAAGAAGTAAATGATTGGTGAAGATGTTGCTGACATCACAAAGGATGACATTCTGGTTGAGAGCCTGATACCTTGGCTTGACACATCTCACGTGCAAGATAATGCTTTGACCCCATGGCTGACCATGAGAGGAGCAGCAAGTTTTGAATGGCCAGTCATGGCAACATGTGAACACTATGTCAGAGGTATCATTGCAAGTTAAACTACTTGTAATTCACATGTATTTAGTGCTGTGTGATTTTTCCCCCCGAAATACTAAATGTGAACTAGAAATGCGACTTCATGATTGGGAGTACTAGGGAAAATAATGATTAATTATTTTTGACATATTGCAATTCTCCTAAAATAACTGACTCTCTCAAGCTGGTATTTGCAATGAGAAAGAACCTATGATTGACTGATTAATGTTCAGCCAGAGAACCTTACTGGGAGTTGAATGATATATTTTAATACGAAACATGTAGTAATAATACAACTTGAATGTAAGTAAAGGTAAGGGTTTTCTACTGACATTAAGTCCAGTCATTTCCGACGCTGGGGGCTGGTGCTCATCTCCATTTCTAAGTTGAAGAGCATTGTCCATAGACACCTCCAAGGTCATATGGCTGGCATGACTGCATGGAGGGCCATTAACTTCCTGCCAGAGCGGTGCCTATTGATATACTCATATTTGCATGTTTTCAAACTGCTAGGTTGGCAGAAGCTGGGGCTAACAGCGGGAGCTCATGCTGCTCCCCAGATTCGAACCTGCGACCTTTCAGTTAGTAAGTTCAGCAGCACAGCAGTTTAACCCACTGTGCCACTGGGGGCTCCAACTTGAATGTACATAATGCTTAAAAAAGGATTTATGCACATTATCTTGTAATTTAAAAGAATCTGGTTTAGAGATAGTGTTCCGTCTTCCAGGAGCATGGTTTACATTGCCTTTTAGCTGCATGGGATAGCATTCCTTTGCATTTCCCCAGGGTTGCTATAAACCCAGCAGCACCCTGAAAGTTAAACAGTATCAGAGTCTGGAAAGCCAGGCTGCAGGCCCTCTGCAGTTATTGGTTTAGAAAGTATCTCTTTGGGTTAGGAGTCCGCCCTTTTTCCTGGGGTTGAGATCTCCATTTTAGAATCTCCCCTGCCTCCTTCAGTAGAGAAAAAAGCCTCAGATGTGCTGTTGGTCAGACAGATACTAGCTCTGAAAAGTCACTGTGAGTACAATTGATAGAAATTGAGTTTTTAAGAAAGGCAACAGAGTCGTGCTGGCCCCCCGACTCTGGAACACCCTCCCCAAAGATCTTAGACGGGCCCCTACATTGGCAGTCTTTAGAAAGAACTTGAAGACCTGGCTGTTCCGATGTGCCTTTCCAGAATAGGAATCTCCAATAACAAGTCCCAGAAGCACTTTATTAGATCTAAGATTGCTGCACACTGCACACTGCACTACCCTATAAACCTTACATATCACCTGTCACATCAGCACTTTTAATCCTTGTACCCATTACTCTGGCCCGGCCCAGTTTTTATAGTGTCTTGATGTATTGTTTATTGCTTGTTGTTTAATGCTGCTTTAACTGTTTTTAATTTGCTTTAGGTGTTATATTGTGTTTATGTTATGTTTTGAGGCCTTGGCCTTTGTAAGCCGCATCGAGTCCTTCGGGAGATGCTAGTGGGGTACAAATAAAGTTAATAATAATAATAATAATAATAATAATAATAATAATAATAATTGAGATACTGTAGTTATTGAGGAAAGCTATTGAGTTATTGAGAAATAGAGAGAAGTAGTTATTGAGTAATATTGAGCATTACGTCATCTCCAAAGCTAACCTTGTGCTTAGATAGGGGAAGACCTGTTCTTTCTAACCATAGCAGCTCAGGGTTAGGGTGAAAGATCCCAAGAGTTTTTCTACCATTTGGAGAAAAGTTACCTCAGTAATTTAAGAAAAAGGAAAGAAAGAACATCTCTATGGTTTCCCAAATTGACTGATTGTGTTGTAACTTTATCAAGCTGTGCCAAGTCTGCCAAGGACTTTGGAAATAAACATTTTGTTGATGTTCATATCTTGACTGGCATCAGTTGCTGAAAGTATTGCGTTATTGTTTCAAAGAAAGACTCCTAGCGGTTCGCCCAGATAAAGAGAGAAGCACACCTTAGTTTTAACGTTATAGCGTCTGGGTGTGACGGCACAGAGTACCTTCTTTGCATGAAAGAGATCCCAGGAATAGGATTGTACAACATTGCCATGTCCACCATGGACAGCAAAACAATGTGCTGTGTGGAAAATGGATTGCAAAAATGAAAAATGAATCAGAAATTCAACAGAGCAATTGGTTCACAGAGAATAGTACATTATAATCAACACAATAATTACACATTTTATATTAGCCTTGTTTTTAGGGTCATTATGATTGCCACAAGACTTTAATTTTTCATTCTAACACCTTCACTTCCCTGAAGGGTTTTACAGAGTAATGCACTGATGATGAGCCAACATTCATCAAATGGAGGAGTGTAACAGCACTAGAAATTTGGAAGAGCAGCCCCCAACTATCGACAATGAGCACGTGATAACATCAGAAGAAGCAGAACCAACTCCTCCTTCTGGCAGCCAGGGAACAGCCATTGAATACCCAGCCTTAGATTCTTCTTTGCTACCACAAGTTTCCATAGGTGCAAACCCTACAAGTGAGAGAGCACAATATTCTGCAAGAGGGGAACCAGCTATACATGTCCCCCCACCCGTTCAAAATTCAACACTTGCCACTTGCCGGCAGATTTTTGGTCTCCTTGGCCAGATCACTGTACAGCGTGAGTATTAGAAAGTGCTTATTAAGTACAAACAACATTTCCTCTACATATCCCTTCCTATTCTACTGGGTGTTTTTATATTAAAATTTTTTAAAGCTTGTATTTTAAAATATTTTAAGTCACAGAGAGAGGTATAATTTTGGGAAAGTTATTAAATATTATACTTCTGAAGTATTAGCCCTTGATTTCATTATGCATTAGTGATTTATTCCAACATGTCCATTCAAAATACATGATGTAATTGTATATGTACTGAGTATGGAAACATGCTTCTTGGAGGTTGTTGGAGCGGTAATAATATCAACCAAACTCAATCAAATTTTATTTATTTTATTTATATCAGGATTGCATCTCCCCCTGTGAACTGGTGTAGGCTCTAAGATCTGTCAGGAAAGCTTTCCTCTAGTTTCCACCACCGCCACAAGCATGGTTGGTGGTGACGAGGGAGAGAGTTTTTTGGTGGTGCCCCCCCCCCTAATCTTTGGAACAGCCTTCCCAGGGAGATTAGGCAAGCTCCCACAGTGTCATTCTTTCATAGGGATCTGAAAACCTGGATGTTCCAGCAAATTTTCGAAAATGATTAGTCCCTAGGCCAAGTCCCTAGGTAGCCAGATAGCACTCTGTCCTGCACTTCATCCACTTCCCTGACCCTATGATACACTGTTTGCACTTTTCCTTGCCCAGCCCTTTTATAGTTTGCCACGTTCATTTTGTAATCCTGGCCATTGGTTTGTTGAACCTCTACTAATGGAACTACAATGAAATGGGTTTTTAATATTTTTAAGTGTATTTAACAGGATTTTGGTATTTTATGATGCTTTTAGTTCTGATTTTATTTGTTAAGTTAACTTAGGTTGTGTTATATTGTCAAATGTGTTTATTTTGATGTAATTGTCTGTATGGTTTTCTTTCTAGCAATTGAATGTTTGCCTTATATGTTGGAAACCACCCTGAGTTCCTTCAGGGAGATAGGATGGCATACAAATAAATTATTATTATTATTATTATTATTATTATTATTATTATTATTATTATTATTATTTGAAACATAACAAGATTAGTACACAGCAAACAAGGTCACTCTGATGGCTGTTGTATTGGATTACATGTCAGACACTTCCCAAGTGTCTAGGACTGTATGATGTATCAGTGAATAATGTGTGCAGATCCCAGTAGGGTGGCCTTTTGCAACTGACAGATGGTAATTTTGTCAATGCTGATTGTGTTTAAGTGCAGGCTAAGGTCTTTAGGCACTGCACCCAGTGTGCCAATCACCACTGGGACCACCTTTACTGGCTTGTGCCAGATTATTATTATTATTATTATTATTATTATTATTATTATTATTATTATCTCACCCCATCTCCCCATGGGGACTCAGGGTGGCTTACAACATAAAAGGCAACCATTCAATGTCACAGAAATAAACAATAAATTAAATAATACAAGTAAATAGTATAAACATTCAATCATAAAACAAATCATAATTAAAGATCAATGAAACACATTTCACAACAACAATTTAAAAAACAATGTTAAAAGCCATATCCAGAGTTAAAAGGAATTTTCAAAAGCTTTACATATGTCTTCCTAACTAGAGTGTGTTAGCTGCAGAGCGCGTAGGTGTATCAAACAATGAACAAACTGACTCCTACACTGCACATCTATACTTTTCCCACCAGTTTGTGATGAAATGAAAATCATAGAATCATGGAATCATAGAGTTGGAAGAGACTTTATGGGCCATCCAGTCCAATCCCCTGCCAAGAAGCAGGAAAATTGCATTCAAATCATGTGTAGGAGTTCACATTTGACCAGTCCATACACTGTCTTGCCAGAGAAAGAAAATATGGCTTGCAGATGATCAATAAAGAACTAGTAGTTTACTCTTCGTAATACAGAACAGCATATTTACAACCATGTGATCAGTTTCATCGACTCACATAATGTCCTTTTATGAGAGATTTAAAATGGTCTTTCTTTGCTCATGTTGAGAATCTTTCTCCAGCAGCTCATGAAGCAGGAATACACTCTAAACTCTCTCTCTGTCTGCTTCTCTGCAAGCACCTGCATAGCTTAAGCCTGAAAAATGTAACAGTACCCAAAAGTTCCAGGTTCAGCCAGTTCCCTGGGCATAGCCCAGCCAATTAGCTTCATGCATCTTATTTTACAGTTGACATACACTCACACACACTAAATGATTTCTTACATGCTCCAACAACCTATACTTTCCCCACCAGTTTACATACTTTACTCTGTTCAGTTGTAAATGGGACGTGTAATTGAGATTGTGATATCTCTATCCCTTCTGTTTTATTTTTGTTGGAAATGCAACAACCATCTTTTTTAAAACAGTTAAATGTGTCTAAAGTCTTATCCACACATGCAGTTTAATCTGGTGTCAATCTTCCCTAGATCCATCACATTTGTGCTGACTCCAGGGCTGTTGGGACAACAATAGGCTATCACCTCCTCTGTGTCACCATCATTGTAGCTGGCCATGGAACCTAGTCCAATATCCTTGCTTTGTTGTCACATCTGTCACATGTCAGACGAGGTACCCATGCACCAATCAAGAAGAAGATGGGCAATCTGGCCTAATTTTTCTGTTAAGGCTACTCTGAAACCTTGGGATACTCCAGAGTTTCCAGCCAGTGGTCCATTAGCACAGTGACATTTTATTTTTGTCTCACTGTGTATAAGCCCACAGAAGGAACGGCTATAATATGATTAATGGATATTTCAATGACCCAAAGTCTTCTGACTTATCCACCAACCATAACTTCTTTTACACTGGGATCTTAGAGATAACTCTTCCTTTCTCTCTGCCTCCTTTTTGCTTTTTGTGCTTTTGAGCAAATGTAAAATTAACTTTGACCTCTTCTTGTTCTGGTTTAGCTTGGCCTAGCACTGTTAGGGAGTTTTCCTGTCTCTAATAGAGTTTTTATAAAAGTACTGTCAATGCTCTTTCTTCATAATAGTAAATAATAATATGCATAGTACTCCTTATCTATTATGGCTGATAATAATACCAATAAGATAATCAAAGGAAAACAACAATGTTTTTGGCAGAGGATGGCATCTTGAGAGAACTACGGGCGATGCGCAGAGAGATGCGGTTCATGAAAGGTGAACAACGTCGGACCAATGCCAGGATGATTTCGATGGCACATGACCTTGAAGAACTCAAGGAACATTTTCTGTAGGAGTAGGGGGTTAAGTCATTGCTTTCCACCATGGATGTAGCTTCTGCCAACTGTTCAGAAACTTTGAGTGCATTTGCTTCTTCATGGATGTTCATTCATGTTTAGTAAACCACTTGCTGCATAAATTGTTCACTGATGCTGCATTTTAGCGGGACACTGAACATTCAGACTCAATGTTCTATGACTCAGTAATACAATCCATATATTCTTATGGCCCTGTGAATCCTGCTTTGCCAGAGAAAAATCAGAGAAGCTATAAAAAGCAAGATACTGTAAATGTCTCTTTTTGATTACAATTCCAAGAATCCCAATGGATTGCAATTTGCTGTAGCCATGCTGACTGAGAGATTCTGAGAGCTTACTGTTTCAAGTTGTATTCAAAAATCACTATTTCAAACTAATTTATGAAAAAGCTGTACACATCCACTAGGCTATAGTACACGTTGTAGGGTGGGAATACACTTTTGCATGCCTTTAAAATGCACCCACAGACTGGATTCAGGCTCCACGTGGATGCTTTTCCTTCCAAATGAAAGGGTTCATAACTTGTATTTAAAATAATTTGGATTTTAATTTGTAGTGTAGAATTGTATTAATATTCAAGTGATTTTTATTATTTTCATCTTAAAAATAAGCATGGCAGCATACAATCCAGAATTTTCTATATTATAAAATGAGTGTATAGAATTTTCTATTCATTACTATAAAATGTTAAGAAGTCCAGCAAAATAACAAATGCAAAGTATACTTCATAGACACATATTCCCATTTATTTTGCAGATTAAATTAATAGACAAAATCCGATGTGTACACATAAAAAATGACCTACCCAATTATTAGGCTTTATCAGATGCTTTCCAATGTATTATTGACCCTTGTGGTTTAGTTGTCGGTAATAAGCAGCATTCTTAAACCAATTCCATTTAAAAAAAACCCATTCCTATAACAATTCTGGTAATGGTTATCAATAATATTGTAACGTTATGTATGAGTATAAATGGTGGTGAGTTGTATCATCAGGAACCAGATGCTGTGGGTGGTCGAAGCAGCCCTTCAAACATGCCTCCTCTATTGGAAGAGCCACTTTCCCCTGCTGAGGACAAGATTATATGTGACATATAGTCCATTTTACACATCCTAAATTATCCTCAGGTGTGCCTGCTGAAGAACACTGACTCACCACCATTGTTAAAGAAGAAATCAGCTTTGGGTCTGGTTCATTTCCATAGGTGGAATGGGGGAAGGGGTGTTCCTCCTGTTCTTTACATCAGGCAGCAAGTCATCTCAGCTAGCCTTGGTTCTGAGACTGACTGATAGTGGCTTGTTGAAGTCCCTCTAAGATATTTAGAAATTCATACACTTAGACCACTTGTTAATCCTGACTAGAGTAAATTCATTAAATAAGCGGGATTGCTTCAGAAAACACATAAATCAAGTATTGTCAAGGTAATGAATTTATCGTAATTGTTACTAAAATTGGATTCAACTCTATTCACTCCATATTCTGAGATGTATGTTTTCATCTTGACGTCTCTTGATTGATAGACATTCAACATCTGTCAGTCTTATAACTGCTGGTATGGACAACGCTTGCTGCACTTTTCAGCCCCAAGCAGTCTCATTCTCTTGGTATAACTCTGTCACCAGTTATACAGAATATTGCATAAAGTATAGCTAGCAATTGCTTCAGTTAATTAATTGTAGATTATGTTATACTAATATTGGTGCATGATTAATAACATTTTACTTTCACTGTTATAACAGCAGTTTATTGTGCTACAAAGAAAACTGTAAATCCACTGGAACAAGAACATAAGTATTTTTCATACCAAAAGTGCCTGAATGTAATCCAGCATCATGTGAGAGGACTTCAGTGCCTACAAGAATATTTCTAGCCTCACCTACCTGCTCCCCTATTTTTTTTTTTTAGATCTCCCTGGGAGATTTGGAAGCCTGCAGGCTGGTGAAAGAGAAGAAATGATACATTCCTCTAGCACTGTCAGTTTTTCCGGCATATGAGACACAGCTGAATCCAATACTAGGTTTTTGGTATGCTTTGTTTGCCTAAGCATTTGCCAAGCTGTTTGCCAAGCATGTTTGCCAAGCTGTCTTTGACTTAATAGAAAAATTAACTAATAGTGATGTATGGCAAAGGACAATCAACATGGTGTGACAGACATGCTGACATGTCAAGACTGCCAGCTGAAGAGGTGGATTTCTTTTTTAATTTAATGCCAATGCTTTATAACGGATGCTGATCTGTGAGGCCAAAAATGCCTCCTCAGTGGCATTTGATATTAGATGTCTCTTCATTGAGAATTAATGGGAGGTGTGGCTGCCTGGAAGTCAATGATCACTTTCTCCTCTTACTTAGCCTTCCTTTGTTGTTGTTTATTCGTTCAGTTGCTTCTGACTCTTCATGACCTCATGGACTAGCCCACACCAGAGCTCCCTTTTGGCCGTCACCACCCCCAGCTCCTTCAAAGTCAAGCCAGTCACTTCAAGGATATCATCCATCCATCTTGCCCTTGGTTGGCCCCTCTTCCTTTTTCCTTCCATTTTCCCCAGCATCATTGTTTTCTCTAAGCTTTCCTGTCTTCTTATTATGTGGTCAAAGTACTTCATTTTTTGCCTCTACTATCCTTCTCTCCAATGAGCAGCCGGGCTTTATTTCCTGAAGTATGGACTGGTTGGATCTTCTCGTGGTCCAAGGCACTCTCAGAATTTTCCTCCAACACCACAGTTCAAAAGCGTCTATCTTCCCTTGCTCAGCCTTCCTTATGGTCCCGCTCTCACATCCACAGGTTACTATGGGGAATACAATTGCTTGCGCGTTCCTGAGGAATAACTGGGTTGGTTGGAAAGCTTTTGGCTTGCTGCTGCTGCTTATGCTACCGCAGAAGACAGCTCTCTGATAGAATGTATCAAAGTGCGCACCATTCAGAAAGGGAGGGTCCTGGTCATTTTCTATCTCCACCACAAGCTATTCAATGACCCCCAACAAATTTTAACAATTGGTTTGGGCAAACCGGGTTGAACAAGCTTCTCTTCACCACTGTGGATAGAAATGGAATGAGAATTCAAATCTGCATGCACAAATCCACTTCCATGACTTTGAAGTGCACATCAGATAAAGAGTTGAAGAAACTCAGTAGAAGTACATGCATGAGAAGCACTTCTCACTGTGTGCTTCAGTTCAGCAATGGCAAGGCAAGTATAACAGAAATGTGGTGTAGGGAAGCACAGCCATAGCACCAGTTCCTGTGTAGTTTCTGGTGAACAAGTTGATCTGTGAATGAAAGTATTTTTTTTGTTAATGGCGTTTGTTAGAGAACATCACACTTTAAATGACGAGCTTTCATCTAGCTAAATCATCATCTACTAGTGAACAATTAATGCAACAGGAAAGTGCAAGTGAAAGTCAGTATGAATTCAAACAATGGTGAGATGCTGTAGCAGATCCTGAATGGAGGTGTCTTACAAATCTCTTGAATTAAATGAATACCAGCTAGCCAAGGTAGAATGAAAAGCCACGGCAACACCTTTGCAATTAATCTCAACATCCAGGTACACAATCCTGTCTGGAAGAACACTGTGCTGCAGAGCATTAAGTGAAATTATCAGCTCATTGACTAAGATTAATGAACACAATATGAGACACAACCAGGAAAAAGATATTATTACAGGCCTTCATTAGGTGTCTCATTCACATGACCTTGCTTGGAGCCAAATTTGATTATATCACTGTCATAGAAACTGTCACCATTTCAAACAGACTATTTCAAGAACATGATAGAAATATATTACAATTTCAACAGAAATCAAATGTATATAGGTGTGAGATAAGTATTTAATAGTGATGTGAAAGGAAAACAGAAGAATAACCATCATTCAAATCTTGCTTTAGTAGTGTAATCCAAATTAACTGTGTATCCGACATAGTTATCTAAATGCAATGGCTTCAGACTATATATAATACTGTATTTTTTTTATTTATCGTGTCAGGAGCGAACCAAACAGTTGTATTGCATTAAAAACAAACAAACAAACAAACAAACCAAACACAAAGTTTGCAAACTTGGCAGTTGATTAAATGTCCTTTGACCAGTAGCTGGCCACTTGGAGGGCCTCTGGGGGACATGAGAGAAGCCTCCCGGCAGGATTGCAAGATATCCGGGCATCTCCTGGGCAACGGCTTCATAGACGGCTGATTCTCTCACTCCAGAAGCAACCAGAAGCGACTTGCAGCATGCAACCAACCAAGCAAACCAACCAACGGACCTTTACAGGACCAACCATGACAATAATCTCAATCAACATAATACAGTAGATACTATATATTTAAGACTAGAACACAAAAAGTACCAAGAAGGCAATAAATGTCTATTTAAAGCAATATAAGTAACTATTAAACATGGCTTGTATGGTAGCTAAATTCATGTGAAGTATAATTAATTACATTTATTTCAAAATTAGCAGTTTGTATGCATGAAAATATTGTACATCTGCAACAAGCACAGTTATTGGAGGTTGGGATGGCACTTGCATTCATTCTCTGGGTAGTAGTGATTACAGAGTTTCATTAGCAAATGAAATACAGTACAGCAGAAAATATGTCTTAAGAACACCAAACTCTTTACCTTAAGGAGAACTTTGAGAAAATGATGTATTTTTGCTTTTTGACTCTAGAAAAATTAGCTAAAACTTATAAAAGGATCACTAAGATATGACATGAATGTAAACAGCAAGAGGACACATGTTATCATGTGTAGTTAGACTTGTGACAAAGCAAAATATAGATTACTTAATTGAGAAGATGTTCAAGAGAAACGATCAATTAAGATTAAAATTGGTTTCATTGGGATCAATGGATGAAGAAATAGAGGGACAACATAGCAGAGTACTACAACACATGAATACTGCAACATATTTTTTCACAAGCTGGTTAGATGAAATTATTTTTCAACCCATTATGAGTCATCTTAATATTTTGGTCTATTTTGCAAAATTAAAAAATTGTAAATTCTATGCAGAATTATATAGGTTGAAAATACTGCACTGCAGATTCCTCAAAAAATAGTGAAAACTGCTAAGAGATTTCCAAAGAATGTCATACTGATGGCTGCAGAAAACTTTGCATTTTTTAAATCAGCACTACCTTGGATCCCGTTATAATAGCTCTATGATTCCATGGTT